GCTTACAAAGCGAAAGAAAAAAGAAAAGGGAAAAAAAGGAAAATAAAAAATAATTTAAAATTTACAACACACATTCGTTCTAATCGGGGCTGGACCTTTCAATAAGGTCAACAGCCCCAGGCCTGCCGGAACAGCCAGGTTTTAACAGCCTTCCTGAAGGCCATGAGAGTGGGCAAGGTCCGGATCTCGGGGGGGTAGCTGATTCCAGAGAGTCGGAGCAGCCACAGAGAAGGCTCTCCTCCGGGGGCCCACCAGCCGACACTGTCCGGCTGACGGCATCCGAAGGAGGCCCACCCTGTGGGATCTTATTGGCCGTTGGGAGATGTGTGGCAGTAGGCGGTCTCGCAGATACGCTGGTCCTAAGCCATGTATAACACTCCTTCCTCCTCCTATTTCCCCCACACCAACAGTGTTGTGAGGTTGGCTGGTCTGAGAGAGAATGACTGGCCCAAAGTGTCTAAGGCAGGACGAGAACTTACAGTCTCCCAGTTTTTAGGGTGGTGCCAGAGGTGGGTTCCTACTGGTTCAGACTGGTTTGGCCGAGTAGGTAGTAAATCAGCCTGCCATGCCCCTGAACTGGTTCTATTGTCAGCAGTGCCATCTTGTTTTTGGGTTCTGGGCATGCGCAGAACAATTTTTATTGCAAAAATGTATTTTTTTATATTTTCTAATGTTCTGTACATGCACAGACCTTTTTAGCTGCAAATGCGCATGTGCGTGGAACGTGTGTTTGGTGTGCATGCATGCACAAAAATTTTTGCGTGCTGAACCAGCAGTAATGCAGGTAGCAATCCACCCCTGGGTGGTGTCTTTGGTAACTAATACCAAACTTCACTACAAACCTTTGGCAGAAGGAAAAACATACATGCTGTCCTTCCTTACGGATAAAGAGAGATACAGATTAGCAAGATTTCTCTCTCTCTGGATTCAGCAATATTCTAGATTCTGTGTTGAAATGTCTCCCTGGCCCAGAATCATTTGTGAATATTGAAAAACCTATTGTAGGATATTTTTGTCTCTCTACCTGTAACCTTCAACAGTATACTAACAACAGATAATGGAAATAGTTCTCTCTTCTTCCCTTTCCATGATAAGATCCTTAAATGGACCGATAGTTATTGTTCCTTTAATAATCAAGGAAGCTTCAGTGTAAGAAGCTAGCTAGGAACCCAGAGATGTTTTAAGCATCTGTCCAAGAGGCTGCCTTTGTGTTGTCAAACAGTACTAATATTGTTAATAGCTCATAAATTTATGTTTCTGTGTTAAGTCTAATACATAGTAATTCAGATGATTTCTGTTTCTCAATCTGTTTCTCAATCTGACCCAAGCATTCAGTTCTGTAGTCTCCTAGGAAGTACTGTCTTAAGTTAGCAGTTTGTTGATACAGCAACAAAAAACACTTGAGATTCAAAGCATATTTTTAATAGTAATTATGGATTATCTGCTGTTTCAGGCAACTGAATTATAGTATTCTAAAGCCTAACCTTGTCCATTTTGTACTTGCTTATATAAAATTGCAGGGCATGTTTAGATATATTGTATTTTTCGGAGTATAAGATGCACCTTTTTCCCTCAAAAAAGAGGCTGAAAATCTGTGTGCGTCTTATACACTGAATACAGCACTTTCTGCCTCCTGAAACCCCGCCCCCTTCACCAAAATGGCCGTGCATAGCTTTTAGGAGGCTTTCAGAGAGCTCCTGAGGGCTGGGGAGGGCAGAAATGAGCGAAAAATGGTCGTTTTTTGCTCAATTTTGCTCTCCCAGCCTCCAGGAGCACTATAAGCTTCCTAAAGGCTATCCAGGGCCTTTTTTTTTTTTTTTTTACAAAAAGCGGGCCTGTTTTTGCAATAAAAGGGGTGCTTTTTGCTCATTTTGCCCCCCCCCTTCCCACA